CTCCCAAGTCCCAAGTCCCAAGTCCCAAGTCATACGCGAGTCCGCCGATGGATCTAATTGATCAGCAAAAATCGATGAAATGAGGGATATGGAACAAGAGGGGGTTGGGCGGCTGCCCCGCCCATCGGATCTTTCGCCGCCGCTCATTCATTTCCTCAATGATCAGTTTCGGACGCGGGATGATCTCTCAAGATTCCCGAATGTCGAGTTGGAGCTCCGAAGACGGTGCTCCCATCTCGAGACCGCCCTCTCCGATCTAACTTGCCGGCTTTCTGAAAGCTTTGCAGTCTACGCAGCTCATTCCAATGATGTAGGTGCCCTTGTTGGAGGAGCGAGAGAGGTTCTGTTCGATCTACGGTCGTGCGAAGGGGTTTCACCTCAAGGTTCTTTGTTTGTACGTTGAGAGATCGTGTTCTTGATTTCTCATTTTGATGAATTTTGGGGGTTTCTCATTCTGTAGATGGAGAAGAAGGCGAAGAGACAGAGAGGAGCCAGCATATACTGGGGAAGGAACTGCCAGCGCTCGCTAGAGGGGTGGCAAGAGTGGAGACTGTCCGGGCTTATGCAGGTGAATTGCCTCGATTGAATAGTCACTTTTGTGTTTTTTGCAATGCTTGGAAACTGCGAGTAGACGGGACATTTTGAAAACATCTGATTTTTGAATTGATTGGAAATTCGATAGCTTTTTTTATTTTGGCTCTTGAATATCCATTTATTTTCATTATTTATTTTCCGTAAATCCATAATTATCTTCGAAGTGTGCAGGATTAATAATCATAGTGGTAAAGAAAGCCTTTAACCTTTCAGATTTCATATTTTGCCTGTTTGGTTTGTGACTCTGTTGAAGTTAGTCATTCGTAGTTTATGTTCCGTTTGGCATAAATTTATGCTGCATGTTTCCATTTACTTGAACAATAGAAAGAGTTTTAGGATGTTTTAAAAAAATAATTGTAAAAAAGTTAAGTTGTATGACATAGAATCGTATGTCTTAGAACGGTAGCTTAGGTAGCCCAGAAAATCCTTTTTTTAGCTTTAGCTTTCTTATCTAATTAGTTATTTAATTCTTTTAACATTTTCACAGAAAAATCTAAAATCTAGACATTCGGAATATGGAGATTTCTTTGGCTAGCAGAAATTATAGAGCTAAGAAACTACTTGCATTTCCTATCGAACTCTTATGGGTTATATGCAAATGCAACTAATGTGTAAAGGTGTAGGAAGTGATTTATATAACAAATATGAATGAGCTTTTTATAAGTTAGCCTATGCTTATGTGACGCCCCAGGCATCCATAGTGAAAGGAT